ATACACAGAATCACTGATTTTGACTAAAAAGCCGAGTCCCCGAAAATAAGACGAACCCACTTTTTCAAAGGGGATTTCCCGGGAAGAAAACATTGTTTTATATGCCGAACAGTATGGGTAATTTTTTTTTTTTTTTTTTTTTTTTTTGGTTCAAGGCTACACCTTAACCAACTCTGCGCAGGTATGGTCTATATTAATTTTGTTGATAATCGGTGCCTTGACAGAAAACTGCATTTTCGCCTTTTTGGGAATACTGCTTCTGGAGAAGAAAGGGCTGAGTTGGTGAAGGTCACTGGGCTTTCACTGGCGACCCCAGACGGAATGCAACGGTGATTGTTGAAAACGCAAGTCGCAGCAGCTACAGTAATCAAAAAGAAACGTTAGGTAATTGTGGTCATTAGCCAGCATGCATTTGCAATATCTTGGCTATCTAGCTAGCTAGTAAATTATCTACTGCGAAGCAAGTTACATTTAGCCAGACTTTCTTTGCATAAGCTGGCGGGGCAAACCTCAAGCTCCCTACCAGATACCATTGCTAAGCGTTCTAGCCTGGATAAAACCAAGCTATGTTCGTGACAAAAAATAAAATATGGCTTCAAGCCCAATACAACTCACCTAGCTAGCGAACCCCCAATCTCGCCTCTCTGGAGCTACAACCTTGGTACAATTAGCTAGCTTCTCAAGCTTCCTCAGTGATTGAACGATATAACATCCAACCCTAGTGACCACTATGCAACGCCTGAGAGTAGACATAGCTAGGTAAAGTAAAAAAAAAAAAAAAAAAAAAAAAAAAAAGCTAGAAAAGCATTCAGAGAGCGCAGACCTCCGCCAGGTGGCAACAAAACCCAAAAGCACAGCAATTGGAACTCCGGCCCATTGGAAAGACTTGAAATCTTTTTTGGCGTATATCTCAGCTGAACTTTGGCCTAGATATGCCTAAATCTAATCACCTGTTTCTTGTCCTAATACCCACCTTGTCTGAAAATTTCATCAAAATCCATTCATAACTTTTTGAGTTATCTTGCAAACAAACGAACAAACAGACAGACAGACAGACATACAAATGCTGGTGATCACATAACCTCCTGCCAACTTCGTTTGGCGGAGGTAACAAAAAAACATACTAACAGCGAGTTTTACAAACACAGGCATTTATTAAGTCATAAAGTCCTATGCTAACTAACATTTTTACAGGCAAGTTAGCCAAATTAGCTGAAATGCCAGCTATCATAAGCCATACCTATACAATCAAAAACAAATTAAAAGAAAAGGCTAACCTAATAACCTTAGACAAATTTATACCTCCTCACGCTCCCCTGTAATTCCAAAATACGGGCTACAGCTGTAATCATCTCTGTAGACAACGAAAGAGGGATTGCGAGAAGACAAATTAACAGAATGCCTCTAAGCTTCTGTCGTGTTTGCCACAGGAAGTGTTTTTACCTGCTTTCCGGTAGGCGTGGCCATCTTGTGAAATAGGCTAATTGACCCCATTCAATGTTTACAGACTCTAACAACATGGTCAGCATACTTTTTTAGATTTTTTTTCCTGACATCATGAGGAAAACATGAAATTAAATTAGAAAAATGTTATGTTCTGCCCTCATGTTGTATGCATTGGTGATGTTGGGGTCATTTTGACCATTCTTTTTTTTGTTGTGCTGGCTGATTCTGAGGGCCTTTCTCTCATTCATTACTCATTCATTTCTCATTCGCTCTCATTCATTTCATAATAATGATGTAAATTCAATAGTTGATGTAAAAGGGAAGGATGGAGAGAGTCATGGCTATTACTTGGCTATTAAGATGGTTGGTAGAAATGCCTAAAGTGGCTGCAGTGTTTTGATCCAGGTCAGGAATCAAGTGCGGAGGCAGAGTACAATCCAATATCAGGGTTTATCGATAGTAATGTGGTAAATAGTGTGATGAAACCCCGAGAAAAATTGCACAGTTCAGTACAGATGTTACCGGCAAAGCAGTGTAAGTGTGGCCAATGCCCGGCCAGTGGCTTTCTGGAATGACTGCCACATGAGTTGCACACTTTGGCAGAGTTGGAACAGTCCAATGACAGGATGGAGAAGCTTAGGAGAAATGTGGTCCCACGTACCGCAGAGGGCTTGGGAGCTTGCTACAAGAAAACTGCACAGAGGAACAGACTGAGAGAGGATTAATAAGATCTCGGTCAAAATCCTGGAGACCATGAGAAATACTTGGGAGCTTGTTCCTATTAACTAAACAAGGAAGAGTATTTCCATATATTACAATAATTAAAGATTATGCTTTACTTTCAAAAGACGAAGAGTTTTACTAGCTAGTACTGACCCGTGCTAAAGTTCATGCAGCAAGTGACGATTCAGCAACTTGCAAGCTCAAAGGAGAGGGTATACATATGTCACACACATGAGAGGCGGGGTAACAAAGACACAGCTGGGATGAGGGAACATGCAAGACACAAACCAATCGAAGGAGATAATACATCTACTAGACATGCAAGATGCTGAATGAGAGGAGACACGGAAGGCATTTAAATAAGGGCTGTGACATGCGGGAGAAACGTGGATAACACTTTCAGCTACAGTCATTTTCTATAGGTGTTTTGCGGGAGTTAGGGGGAGCTGGCTACATTTTGGCCAGTTTAGCCCCCAAATTGAAATGTACAAATCTTAAATATTTTTGTTACATTCGGGCCATGGTGAGGAGTGCACTTCAGCATAAGGCTGCTATGTGTATAAACTCAGTCATATTTGGCTTGGAATTATCTGATATGTGACGCAATTTTCTAAAGTCGTGAACGTTATATTTGCAACGTCATGTATGGATCAGCATATGGAAAACTTCAATTGCTAAAATAATCCAGATTTGACTCAGCCTCAGTCCCTTAAAAAACACAGAATGCATAACAAAAGCTAATAACAGTTCTCAGTGGCACATTCAAGCATGCAGTATCGAACGGTCGGTTTCCAACAACTTTGTCACTAAATATCAAGGAAACCAAAACAATTCAACCAAGCTCTATTTCTAATTTGCATGTAATTAAAGTAATAAATGGCTTTATCGGGTGTAAGCCTGAAATATGTTAATAATGAGACCAGGGCCTGGTTCCCTAGGCCTAGACATGATAGACTTAGTACTGAGCAATGTCATTAGCTGCTTAAGACGTAGGTTCTGTAGGTGGCAGAACAAAAAGGCTTCATCCAGCTCGCAGCAGGGTGGATTACCTGAGCATCAGTTCCAACAACTTGTCAGGTACACTGTGGGAAATACCAGCAGGATTATCCTCCAAGGATGCAACAGACCATAGGAGTAGTTTGGTATTTAGGTTTTCTTTATACACAATACATGTACTTTGGGTGACACAGTGTTTTCAATGAAACTGCTTTCAAATATTACTTTGTTATTTTTAGTAAGTGTCACTTCTGTAGTTTAGGTTTCAACATACAAGAACACATGGTCTCAGCCAGACGCCGTGGAGGAGGGCACAGGTATTAGCTAATGTTTCTAAGGACGTGTGTTGTTACATTACTGCTATTTAGTCATCACACTTATCCAAAGGACTTGAAGGTAATTAATGTATGTTATTTGGAAACAAAAAATGTATGTGGGATATTTCACAATAATTATATAATGTAATTAAATGTTATTGTAACTATATATGGCAAAATAAAGTGAAGCATCGATAGATGGCCTGTGGAATAAAAGAGCCAGCAATGTGTGGTCATACGCAAGTGGGCGATGGACAAAAGCTGTCAGTTGCAAGCTGAAAATAATTGGACAAGACACCGGCCTTCTGGCTACCTTCTGTTTGTATTATTATTTATGTATGCATTTATTTTATGCATTTGTAGCCTACACTAAATGACACTGAGAGCTAGATACCAAAGCATTTTATGTGCATGCCTCCAGAATTGTTATTTAAAATTTTTAGAATGAGCTGTGGAAGTGCCAAAAAACGTTTATCTTTTAATTAAACTACCCACGCTAATTTCCAAACAATCCGTTCATGAGTTATATACTAAATGCTGTTTTTTTCAGTAAAAAAAAGGTCAGGCATGAATTGACGTGGGAGTACAATAACTTTCCCACTGAAAAGTTCAACGAATGCTGGCAAGCAAAATCAAACTGAATATTTCCCAGTCTTTTTTATCTGTTTATGCCTGAGAATGAAGGATTACCTGTCTTATACCATGCAGTCGACCTCGTATACAATCCTGTCTCCAGAAAAGCTGGGCTGCTGTGTAAAAAGTACAAAAAAACAGAATGCAATGACTTGCAAATCACTTAAACCCTACATTTAATTGAAAATGGTACAAAGACAACCTATCAAATGCTCAAACTGAGAAAAAGTATTGTTTTTGAAACATATCTGCTCATTTTGAATTTAATGCCAGCAAAAAGTTGGGACAGGGGCAACAAAATATTGGAGAAGTATGGTGTTCAAAAGAATACACCGGATGGAACATCTCACAGCTTATTAGGTTAATTGGCAACAGCTCAGTAACATGATTAGGTAAAAAAGAGATGGGCCTGAGCTCATTCACGATGGACTGAGTCAAAGTGGCAAACTGTCTGACCAATTAAAATGTGAATTTTTTTTGGAAATCATGGACGGCTGAATAGGGGAGGGACTATTCGGCATTTTATCAGTGCAAAGCATCAGTTATGGTATGGGGGTACAATAGTGCACATGGCATGAGTAACCTGCACATCTGTGAGGACATCATTAATGCTGAATTATGTCTATAGGTTTTGGAGCAAATATGCTGCCATCCAGACAACGCCTTTTGCAGGAAAAGCTTTGCTTATTTCAGCAATGCAATGCCAAAGCACATTCTGCATATACTGCAACAACATGGCCCCGTAGTAAAATAGTCTGGGTGCTAAACTGGCCTGAAAATATTTGGTGCATTATGAAATGAAAAATATGGCTAAGGAAACACTTACAGTGCATTTAGAAATTCCTCCTAATAAGTACGCGCCCTGGCTACCTTGCCAACGAGCCTGGCTCTTTGGTGATGTGGTCAGCGAGTCTGACTCTTACCCAGGAGTCTGGGGTTCAATTCTCCCACCGGGCCCTCCCTCGGCCTGGCACACATTGTAAAAATGAGAGATGATGTAACAGAATGGTAAACATTCCCCAGCCCCAAATGTTTTATAACGTGTTGCTGGCATCAAATTCAAAATGAGCACAAATTTTTCTGAAATAAATAAATAAATAATCTCTTCATTTCAACATTTGATATGTTGAATTTCTACTTTCTTTAATTAAAAACAGGGTTTAAATGATTTGCAAATCATTGCATTCTGTTTTTATTTACATTTTACGCAGCGTCCCAACTTCTCTGGAAATGAGGTTGTATTATGCATGACCCTTGGTTTTAGAGGCTGTACCCATTGAGGTTTCATTAGATGCCATGCATTTATTTTATAATTAGGCTCAAAGAACATTCACATGAGTACATATATTAATGTTTTGATATGCCTACATCTTAATGAATATCAGATATTGCATTCAATAAACCAGAAGCTGCCACAGGTGAGACAGCAGCACGTCTTGAACATGATGAATTCTTTCCAACCCTGTTCCTGAGTACTTATCATTGACTCAGACTCAGAACTCAAGTGCAGGCAGGAAATCAGTTACACAAATTTATTGGTGAGCAGATACTTAGCCAGACAGTCCAGTTCAAAGCCAATCAGTATGAATGAATCACAAAAAAGGAGTAATCTAAATCCCAGTCACAGAAAAGTCCCAAGGTTGAAAGCCAAACAGTGTGATTGCCAAATCCAGAGAGGTAAAGAATCATAAATTCACAAAACAGGCCAGAGTCAAAACCAGAAATCTCAGTACACAAGGAGCTAGGCATTCTCGAAAAACCGTGGAAACAAAACAGGATCAAAATGAGAATAGCTCACTGAAAATACAATGACTCCCAGTGTTGCCCAGAAATGGCAAACAAACTTGCATAGAACTAACGAAACAGAGGGCTATAAAGAGGAAAAACCAAGGGAAACAAGGAAGAGATTACAAGTGTATGTGCAGAGGGGAATGTGGTAAGGGGCGTGGTTACAAAGGAATGGGGAGAATTTCTGACAGAATGGGAAGGGCAAGAGTGGGAATGAAGAAGAGTACAAAAGCAGGTGGGAACTGAACAGGGCATGTAAAACAAAGGCGAATTCACAAAATAACAACAAATGCAAGAAATGAGACGGTATGACAAATGAGAAAATACGAATCTAAGTACTGCTGTTTCTTTCTGTTCCTGAATTCTATACAGTGCTGTGAAAAAGTACTTGCCTCCTTCCCAGTTTTGTCTATTTGTCAGTATCTAGCAATGTAATGTTTGTAATGTTAAAGTAATGTTTGCATTTTTATTATATTGTATGCTTTTCCTTTTTCCAGTGTTTGCTCTCTCTTCCATGTTTTTCTTTTCTCTCTGTCGCCACATGATTTTGTTTGCCTTCCAGCTGTCTCTACCTATTTCAATGCTCAATCTTTACCTTATTTCTAGCTCTGTCTTCTTTCACATTCCCCATGCTGTTATCTGCCCCTGAGTCTTGTCTGCTCATTTGTCTTCTGGTATATCTTCTCCTTTGTCCAAATTACATTTGCAAGTTTGTCTTAGTTGATTTCTTTCTCCAGTTGCTTGGAGCCTTTTTTGCGTTCAACAGGTTTTTTTTTTTTTTTTTTTTCTGTGTGCCAGTTTTTGAATGTCCCCTGTCTGTTCTGTTCTGCCCATTGGTTTGACAATTTGCTTCATGTTTTACCATTGACTCTTGGATCATGATTCTGTGATGCATTCTGCCAGTGCTAGCTTTGATCTCTGTCCATTTTTTGACAATTCTTCTGCCTTGTGCACTGAATTCTTATTCTCTAGTTTTTGACAAAGCGTGCACAACCACACTTTCCAATTAACTGGTTTATCTTCCATGACTGCTGCTTGCAACTGAGTCCTGGGAAAACCAAAACACTATTTTTGCTCATTTGTCACATAGAATTGTTTCAGATCATCCACCGAATTTTAATATGATGCAAAGACAACATGATTAAAGAAAAATGTTGCTTAAAATAATAAATTAATATAATGAGGGTAAACAGTTACTCAAAACCTAAATCACCCATGTGAAAAAATAATTGTCCCTCTGTATCAAATAACTGGTTGCGCCATCTTGGGTAGCAACAAGTGCAATAAAATAGTTTTGATAACTGGATATGAGTCTTTTACATTGCTGTTGAGGAATACTGGCCCACTCTACTTTGTACATTTGTTTCAATTCAGCCACGCTGGAGAGTTTTTGATTATTAATTGCCTGTTTAAGGTCTTGCCATAGTATTTCAATTTGATTCAAGTAAAGCTAAAGATTGCTTGTCCAAGAAATAAAACTTTCATTTTGTTTCTTTGGAGCCATTCAGAGGCGGACTTGCTTGGGTCGGACTTGCTTCAGTCATTGTCTGGCTGCATAAGCCAACTGCGTTTGAGTTTTTGGTGACAAACTGATTGATAGATATTCTCCTTTAGAATGTTCTGGTTGAGGGCAAAACTCATGGCTCCATCAACCATGGCAAGTCACACCGGTCCGGCAGCAGGAAAGCAGCCTCAGACCAACACATAACCACCACCTTGCTTGACTGTAAGTATCATGTTTTCATTGTGGGAAGCTGTGTTACCTGTATGTTAGATGCAATGGGACCCACATCTTCCAAAAACCTCCACTTTTGACCCATCATTCCATTGAATATCATCCCAAAAGTCTTGGGGGTGGTTTTGGCAAATGTGGGACACAACTTTGTGTTATTTTTGGTCAGTAGTGGTTTTCACCTTGCAGTTCACCCATGGATGCCATTTTTTCCCATTCTCTTTCTCAATGTTGAATTATGAATGCTGAGCTTGACTGAGGCAAGTGAGGCCTGCAGTTCTTTATATTATGTTATCCTGGAGGTCACAAAAGAACCCAGACTGAGTTCTGTGTTCAAGGAGTAATTTTGGTCGGCTGGCCACTCCTGGGAAGGTTCACCACTGTTCCAACTTTTCTCAATTTATAGATGATGGCTATGACCATGGTTTGTCGGAATAAAGAAATCTTAGAAATAGCTTTGCAACCTTTTCCAGACTGATAGACATCACGGACTTTATTTCTCATCTATTCTTGCATTTCATTATATCTTGGCATCATGTGCTGCATTTTGCCTTCACATTTCCTACAACAAATGATATCATAATTTATAATCTGCATTTTTATTAAAACTAGTGTAAAGATCTGGGCCCGTGTTCACAATGCATCTTAGCACTAAAAGTAGGTCCTAACTGCCAGATTTAGGAGAAACTCTTAAAAAAATGGGCGTGGTAGTCGTAAATTTAGGAATCCTAATTATTTTTACTACGTGTTATTCACAAAGAATTTTAGGCCTAAAAGGAGCTCCTAAGTCTGGGAGAGCTTAAAAGTAGTCAAGAGGATTCCTAACTCGCTAAAACCTATTCACAAAGAATCGGAAAATGGCTGCTGCTGTTGAAAGACAGAATGACTTGGAAATTCTGAATGATGCGCGGTTGTTGAAAAGATATCGGATCGACCGTGAAGGGATTTTATTTGTTGTTGACTTGGTGAGGGAGAGAATTACGTCTCCAACCATGGGAAACAACCCAATAAGCCCCGAAATAAAATGTTTGACAACACTTCGTTACTTGGCCACCGGAAAAATGCAACTTTGCAATGCGGACAATTTAGGGATTTCACAGTCATCTGTCAGTCGCTCAATTCACAAACAATCATTGCGCTCAGTGAACCCCATATCATCTGACAGTTTATCCTGTTTCCAATGGACATTTGCCAACAACACAGAACCAAACTTTAATTCATGCCCATCTCAGGTATTCCTGGTATCATCGGAGACTCATATTCTAATTATTTCTCCGACCCAAGATGAAGAGGTATTTGTAAATAGAAAAAAATTTCATTCCATCAACACCCAGATATAATTTGATGCCGAATACAATGTTTTGGACATTGTTGTGAAATAGCCAGGATCCACGCGCGACTCGCATTTTAATGGAAAGCAGCTTATGCCAATTATTTGACAGGCATTTTGTGCCTGCGGGATGCCACTTGCTTGGGGACAGTGGCTTTGGTGCTGCACCTCCTCCTGCCATGTGTGAATTATTTTATTAGGCTGTTGAGCGAGGGTTACATTTAATAGATCATCATAATAATACCAGCCTATGATATATTTTGTATACATATTTAAATTTTAGGCTATAAACTACAAACCAATCTTAGTTTGCTTTCCTGTTTAAACGATAGCCCGTTTATAGGCTGCAATCTTGGACCTCCCCTGCGATTGGAGCCCATATCACCGCTTCTCGCAGTCATCTGTCGTCCGAGGATTTGCTGTTCACCCCCGAGCCAAATTTTCCTTTGATTACATGCTTTCGCTCCAGCACCAACTGGGCCAGCAGCAGTAACTGGTCGTAGCTCCACTTGGGCTTTCGCGTCCTTTTTGAACTTTCATCCATGACAGTTTAGGGCAAACAGGCTTGAACAGCTCGACATTTAAATGATCGCAGCATATTCTCATTGGGTAATAAGTTGCTACTTATTGAGGAAAATGACACGTTTTATTATTGACTCAGTTTTATGCTATTGGCGTTTTTACAACTATTTCTTTCTTTCTTTTATGTATGTTTATTTGCCGAGCGCGTGATATGTGGGGACTGCACATAGTGCATTTTCAGGAGTGCTCAACATGTTATTATTTTATGGGACAAACCAGCCACTTGGACTATTTCCTCATTTTTTCCTCCATATATTGTATGTGGGATATTTTTTTCAATGGGCCGCCCTGTCACCAAACAACCAATCACCGTGCTCATTGTCCCAAGACTCGTGCATGAGAATTGACGTCATCCGTAGCAACAGAGATTTACTCACACCTATCTCAGAGCTACTCCTATTCTAGGAGTTACCAGTTTTCTGAACTAAAAGTTGCTCTCAGCGGCTTTGTGAATAACTTTTAAGATTTTACTCCTACATAAAATGTTTTAGTGCGACTTAGGAGTACTCCAAGCAGTAAGATAAGA